GAAGTGGAGTCTCGTCGTCCAGGAGAGCCCCCCATGAAGACTTCTGCGATTCCAGTTTTCGCCGGCGATGACCCGTCCAACCCTCCGTACCCCGCGTGGATTCATGTCTGGGTGGACACCTGGTACGTGCATGTGCTCTTTGCTCGCTTCACAGGAATAGCAGCATTGACGTTTTTATGTACGTCTCTGCGGCCAGCAGCCACCTGCGATATTCCAGAAAGCTTCGCCTCCGCATCGTTATCTGGTGCCACGTCGGACCCGCGCGCCTCTAGCCTCAACTCCACTCCCCGTGACCACGTGTCGTAGGTATTTTCTCCCTCAAGCTAAATTTACACGAGGTAAGTAGTTACTACCGTCGATGTCGACAAATTTGGAAGATTATAACATATCTGACTGCGCTGCGTTAACGTTGTCCAGGTTCCATGAATATCTTCCGGGTGAGTGGGACGGTTTGGCTTGTTATGGGTTTACTGAGATTGTCCGTGGTATATAAGGACGAGGGCATTTGTCCGACATGAAAGCACATCCCAACACCATGCGGACCCGCTCGTTTTCGCTCCTCGTCATCCTGGCCAGTAGTACTGCCCTGGCCTCGCCGACCTGTGTCTTGTCAAAGTCAAAGTCCAAGACGGCTCCGGCAGACTCCCCTGCAAATGTGACGACATTGAACAATGGGACGGCCTTTGTTCAGGGCACCGTTGGCGATATGATTTGGCAAGCATCAGGTATGTACAGTGTAAATGAATTCCAGCGTGTCGACGTCTAATTGCAAATTCATTTACCCACAGGCATCCTTGACACGAATTGCACGTTATCCGGCATCACTTCGTGCTACCACATGTCCTTCACCTCCAACGCCTCAGCGCAACTCGACACGAAGTTCCTCTCCTCCCCACGCCAGCGCGACGAGTGGCATTTCCCGCAACTCGATGAAGGCACGGCGTATTCGTACACGTGGAAAGCGTACCTCTACGCTGGCGTGAGCACGAGTACGACATGGTTCCATATGATGCAGGCGTTTGGCGTGTCGGAGGATAACCCGCTTGTGACGCTCGATGCTGTTGATGGGGATTTGAGGATCAAGGATTATGTGCGGGGGACTGGGGGGCCGCAGTGTGGGGCGATCAAGTGCCCGAGTGTTAATTTGACGGAGTATGAGGGGAGGACGACGGTGCATAGTATTTCGTGAGTGGTTTTTCTGCGGCCCTCCGTGTGTGTGATTGATTTTCGGGGACAGAGGAAGTTTCGGGCCGGAGGGGACGATGGTGTACAACGTGACTGACGAAGACGGGACTTCGATCCTCAGCTACTCTGTAGCCAGCGATATGGGTGCTGCAGGTGGATAGTAAGTTCTTCTTCTTATGTGTCCGCGTACGCCCTGATCCACGGTTTCTTTAGCATCAAATTCGGGCTTTATAGGCTTACATTTGACGGGATGACCGAAGCTAGGTTGGTGGTGCATTTCCCGGAAAATTTTGTGTTGATCTCATATTGCCAACAGTGTCGAGGTCGGTGATTGGACTGGGAATTAACTTGACGTGTACAGTATCGTGTATGTACTTGTATGTTTGCAGAGACTGGACTTTCTATTCATTCAAGAGAACGCCGGCGATCAGACTGTCTCGGGCATTTTGGACATCTTTGGATTTCACGTTCACTCCACTCCGAAGGACGCGGGCCAGGAACAGAGTCAATCCCACTTCGACTGCTCGCTCGACCAATCTCCGGACCCACACCTGCACCCGCAGATGAATATGCAAAGACGGGCGGCTCAGGCCTCAGCGTTCAGCTCAAACCCTCCCACGCGTTTCACACTGACATTCCCCGGACAACCACGATGCGCATGCGCATCACGGCGGTCCGGTACTTGGAACTCTGCGCTCGAATGGCGCACTGCCCAGGCCCTGGGGATTCGAATACTTACTTCGTGTGATATAAAACGGAGGTGGAAAACTATGCCTGACATGTAAAGTAAAAGTACACTGCGACGCCGATTGGTACGTGGGATATTCTGATTCTGATTTCTCACCAGCCAGGCCTTCCAGTGTACTGCAGTGCCAAGTGGAACTAGAAGTTCGGACCCCCGAGTCGAGTCCAGGACCATACCGACGGCGCCAACTCAAAAGAGCCTAGTAAGTAGCGCCACTGATATGCAAGTAGTTCCCGAGTATGTGCAGTTCGGGCCGCTCCGATGAGAAAAAGTTGAATTGAAGGCAATGAAAGACAGTAGTAAGGAGCATGAAATTCCGCGAGCTCGAGTCTCCGAACGAACAAGTCGGGAATTCCGAATCCGCCCATACAAATGCTAAGCGGCGGTTACTAATTAAAGATCCCGGCCGACTCATTAACGTGATTGATAGCACATCATTGTGTGCCTTGCCCTTTTACCCATAGCCTCTCTCTCCCCACCTTGAACCTCCAGGAGACACCCTCTGTACCCTCAGCTCACCTCCAGGCTCTCCGAAACTCCCAGACAAGGCCAGCACATGCTCCGGATCGCGGCGGCCGCTAGCGCCCAGCGTCGATACGCATCAAGTCGACAGTCGCCGAGGCTGTACTCGTTTTTTAGCCGGGACGCCGTTTGTCGTCTAAGAGACCTATTTTAAAGCGTTTCGGGATGCTTTGGGTATATGAGAGAGTTACCCCGAGCGCGGTCCCCCGATCTGCCCCTCCCTCTCCCAGACACATAATAGGCTGGCCTAGCGTTCACCCCCGCCCCCCTTCCGGGTGAACGAGTTCTGTTTTCTTTCTTCTTTCTTCTTCTTCTTCTTTCTAAATGCTTCTTTTCCGATGGTGAGTCCCGCTTTTTCGTCTAGCTGCAGGTCGAGCTCAATGCACGCACACAGTTTTACTATATTCTTCCTCTTTCTCTCATACGTCAACGGCTTGATATTCACACCGCTCGCCCCAGGGCCATACGCAGCGGGCGCGCAGCTTACAGTGGGGTGGACATTGGACGGCACAGAGCCTACGGGTGGATGGCAGTTGTGGTACGCGACGGAGGGCAGTTCTGTTAGGCTCGTAGACGTCCCGCCGCAGACTCTGTCGGCGGTGGTGAACTTTCCTGGGAGGTGCGTCGCAATGTGTTTACTCCTTCTGTTCATCAAAGCTCATTCAATCAAGTGGGAACGGCGTTTTCGAGGCGATGGACGGGCTGGTCATGCTCGCACAAAGCAACGAGGTCGACCTTATCGTGCCGACTTCCGCGACAATTCCGACATCATCCTCTTCCGCTGTATCGACGTCCACTTCCATATCGCCGAAACCATCCAGCAACAACGGCACCTCCGCCAATGACACCGGTGGTACGCGCAAGACCTCAGCCGTCTCCACCTCAGCGCTCCTGGGTGTTATCGTCGGCACCCTCGCCCTAGTGGCCTTCATTGTCTTTGGTTCCATATCGCTGTACGTCTACCGACGACGGAGGGCCGTGGCCAACGGAAGGGGGCGAGGCGTGTATCCATTTGGTGGGCCTGAGAGTGCGAAGCAGGCAGAGGAGGACGAGGAGAACAAGCTCGCGATGAAGATTTCGCCCTTTAGCGTCGATTTGGACGACGATGAGCCGGAGCTTCCGGCGCTCCTGTCTTCGCAGCCTACGCCGCCGGGGTTGAATTCGGGCACGCTGCCTCAGGTTCCTGCTTTAGGACCCTCGCCTGCTTTAGGACCCTCGCGCCGGCAAGCGTACCTCGAGGCACAATTACAGCAGCTCGCGATTTCCACTGCTCCTGCGGAAGACGAGGAGGAAGACGTGTCAATCACGTTCAGTCCTCTTTCCAGCATCCCTCCCTCGGAACACACTCTCCCGAATCCACATCCCGACCCGCATCCTTCCAGCTTAGGCTACACTACGCGCAGAAACTCGCCTCCACTCCCTCCCCTCCCTCCACCATCGCCGCCCTCACAACAACAACCACAACTACAACCGCCAACGCCGACACCCGGCTCCTCACGACGAGCAGCCTACCTCTCCTCCCAGCTGCAGAAACTCAACACGGACATCAGACGGGGAAGTGCCGGTGGGTCTCTGGCGTTCGCACCGCTTTCGAGCGTGCCGTCGGAGAGCACTGGGGTTCCCATATACGAGGAGGAGGAGGAGGAGTCGAATTCGGGAAGCGCTACACCGACGCAGACAGAGCTTGGAGCGTCTGAATCCCCGGTGTCGACGGTCATCTCGCCTGTGGTGTTCAGGCCTAGGTCTGAGGCTATATCGATTTTGACGGTACTCGCGCCTGCTGTGGTGCCTGATCCGGAGCCTTTGACGCCGGTGGTTTCGAATGCGAGTGCTGGTGGTGCTGGGACTGAGACTGGGACTGGGACTGGGACTGGGACTGGAACGGGAACGGGAATCGGCACCAGGACGCGCACACGTCCGCGCGGGCCGAGTCTTATTCAGACTCCAGTGGGCATGCGACCCAAGGGTGCGCGTCCGCCTTTGTGATTTGCCTGCTGATTAGCGCGTTGCTTTGACCTTGACTTTGAGAGAGAATCTTTACCTTTAACCGCATCACATTGCATTGCATTATTCTACCTCACTCATTCAGTTCAGTTTACTTCTACCCACCATACTTATTTTATTTATTACTTACCGCTGTAATGTACGATAGCGCTTTCGAATACGAATTCTGTTGTAACTTGTAACAGTATTTCGGTTTGCAGTACCAGTTGACATCCAGACGCCGGTCATTCCATTTCGACATAAGTGCAATCAGTCGAACCCCGCAATTAAATTGTGCATGCTATTGCTAACAGAGATGATACTCTCTGGCAACTCTAGATCTCCGGTTGTCTCCATGCAGCAGCAGCACGGCGTTCAAACGCGCGGGCTGATAGGTACGCGCTGGAGGCGGTGCATGCATTGAAAATGAACAGTTTTACATACGGTACCGGTTTACACGGATCCAGGGCCTTCGCGACCGTGTCAAGGGGAAATGATCAGGACTCAGTACTCAGGACTGGAGAGCCAACAAAAAGAGAGGAAATCGAACATTTACTCTGGCCTATGCTTTGGGAGGGAATCAAACCCCCGGCGGGTCGAATAAGGTTGATATGGCAACGACCCAGGTTACCACTACCCCACCAAAGCGATGGGATAGGGGAGCCGGGTAGGGTCCCCGATGGTATTCAGCGTGAATTGGAGATTCACGCAGCGTCTGATCGAAGAGATAAGATTAGCCAATCAGCCCAATCTCAACGCCAATGGGCGCGTCCGCGGGCGATTGCCTCAATGCCCGGCATTCGAAGTTCAGGAGTGAAATTCGCAGGCGGCAGGTGTCAAGAAAAAAAGATGGAACCACGCTGCAGGACCTACATATGTTGCCCGGGAATCAAACCCGCGGTCAATGCGTGACGGTTCGGATGGTGGTATGGGTACTCACCAACCAAGAGCCGCCTGATAAACTCGGGTTTTGGTGGACTCACCTCAGCAAATGCGCATCCCTCGTACATTGTCTTGGTAAATTCAAGGGCCATGGCAGTAATCTCCGAGGACTGAATACCACCGCAGCCGCCATCACTCGAATTACCTTGATTTTACCACACCCGTTCGACGGCCGTGACGGCCGATTTTTGACGGGTCTTGAGGGCATACGGGTCGTTTCTGACGGTACCGTTGAAATTCTTTGTTGGACCCCGTCGGGTCGGCACGGGTACCCGTCGACGGGTGGCCGTAAAGCCGTCATGGACGGTTCGGGTCCGCAGCCCTACGGCCGCATCTCGTGTATCCCGTTGGTGGCAGCAGCTTTGCAAAAATATCTCAAGTTTTTCCTCGGCCCGGGACCGTGGCATCTCTCCCACAATCTGACAGGTCTGGGAAGATTTTGACAAGGGCCTCGAGGCTGCTACGTGGCAGGACATGTCTCTCTCTTCTCTCTCTCCCCCAGCATCACTATGTCTATGAAGACATATTCTCTACTCGGTCAGCCATGAATCCTCCTTGAAACCCCATAACTGACTCACATGGTGTAGTCCAAAGTGCAGATCAACTCCCCCGGAAGCTCCGACCCCGTTTTTATGTCAAGGTCACCGGGTGCTCTGCCGATTTCAAGACTGAAGAGGTGTCAAGCCTCAAACCACACTGGAATTATGAATCCAAAATGTTTGTACAAAGCATCTGAGATCTGCTGCAAGGTTGACAATTCATGACACAGCTGTCCGACAGCTACCCAGCTGACATTTCAGCTGCTCCACAGGGGTCTTTCCAACACAAAGCTGGTTTGCCAGGGGACTTTTTCCATCCAAGATCTTATCCAAAAATCCCGGACTGCACATGGTTTGTCTCAGCCCTACATGGTTATTTTCTAACTAACAGAGAAAAAGTTGTTGAACTTTCTCTTGTCAAGCCAGACAACTTGAACAAGAAATTGGGCCGGCTGTGGATCCAGCTGACAGAGAACAAGGAGCACAGTGAAACTCATAGTACTGCTGCCCTGAATCAAACACCTGCTGCTGCTGCCAGTAGAGCAATGCCTGCTGCTGAAACCCAACCAGAGACATGGAGACAAGATATTGGCAAGAGGGTCAAACATACTTGGCAGGGTTTGCATCAGATCACCAAACTTATAGCACCCTTCGTTCCCCAGCCCTTCAACACTCCCTTTGAAATCTTCAACACCATTTCAGATGTGGCAGTAGTAATAACACTTTCTGTGCTAGTTATTGTTCATTGCTTATGCTCATTTCCAGGAATACATTGGGAACAAAGAAGCTCTGGAGGATGCCCTTGTCAAATTGTCAGGTCAGCTGGCAGAGGTTGAAGGAGTACTCCTGGAGAGTGACAAGTACAATATCGATATTACAGCAAGCAGCAACAAGCTAGCAGAGTGAGTCAATCCTGATGATGATGACACTGACTAAATCTTCCAAGCCTACTTATAAAGCAAGCCAAGGAAATGCACGATATCAAGTCAACAGCTGTGGCAAAGAAAATCTATCAGCAACACGAAATTGCTGGCAAAATCACTGAGTGCATTGACACACTGAACCAAGGGACAGATGATCATTACGTTAGTGCCTCTTTCTTTGATCTTACAGTGAAGCTTCTAAGTACTTCATCAGCAAAGAATGACTCAGGCAATTGCTAGGGATGTGAAGAAAAATGTGGACTTTGCCTTGGTAATGTTTTCCATTCAAAATGGGATTTCAATTCTGATACAACAATCCAAGGCTTCCATGCTCCCATCATTTGCGCCTAGAGCCTTGTTTGATGCAGATACAGGAGCAGCAGTATCACCCAGACGAGAATGCACACCCGAAACTCGGAAAGAGTTGCTGGACAAACTTGAAAAGTGGGCAGTGGATAAATCTCCCAATACTTCCCCAATTTTCTGGCTCAGTGGTATGGCTGGTACTGGCAAGTCCACTGTGGCCTACACACTATGCAAGCGGTTGCAGGGGCACAAACAGTTTGGGGGCTCATTCTTTTGCTCCCGCAATGATGAGCAGGCTCGAGCTCGAGTGTCAATCATCCCTACAATTGTTCGCCAACTCATCCCTGAGAACACTGCATATGCATATGCTGTGAGGGATTTGAACCTTGACCAGCTTACTCCTGCTTCCAGTCGCCATGTGGCTGAGCTGCTAATTGGCCCATGGATGAAATCATTGAAGAAACATGGAGGTCAGCAAGCATCACAAGTCATAGTGATTGATGCTCTGGATGAGATTGAAGGCATTGAAGGAGCACATTTTATCCAAGATTTGATCCATCAAGTGGCTACAGTTAAACAAGAAATGCAAGGCCTGAGGTTCCTGCTCACCAGTCGACCCCATCCCATGATTGTTGAACAATGTCAGCATCTGGAAAACAGCAATATCTACCAATTGGAGCAGATCCCTCCTGAAACAGCCCAGGATGATGTGCACAAATTTGTCACTGCTGAATTTGGGCCTCTCTCTGAAGCAGACCTGAGCTTTATTGTTGCACAATCTGGAGGGATCTTTATCTATGCAGCAACAGTCAAACGACTTCTCTTTCCAGCAGGTTTCACATTGTCAGAGAAAGAGCGCAAGACACGAATGCAACAAATCCGCACTAGTGACAGACTGCCCAAATCTGGCACTGTGGAGTTGCCCACCGATACCTTGTACAAAGCTATCCTTAATGAGGCTCTACCAGATATAGGCACTGAGGTGGAACTCTCAAAGCATATTCTGTATATTGTGGCTACTTCAAGGAGACCTCAAACAGTCCAGGAACTTGCTCCACTTGTGGTTGACCACTTGGACAACATTGATGAGGAAGCTGTCAAACACAGAGTGGATGCACTATATGCTGTGCTCTATATCTCCCAGAGAGACAAATGTGTATACTCCTACCACAAATCGTTTGATGATTTCATCACAGATCCTCAGCGATACATACATGCTGAAGTTGCAACCAACTACTTGGCTATGCGAGCAGCAGATTGTTTCCGAATACTGGAGAATTCACTCCATTTCAATATGTGTGGCCTTCAGTCATCTTACATGCTGGATGAGGAGGATCCAGGGTTAGCATCCAGGGTCAATGAAGAAATATCCAAAGAGCTTCAGTATGCATGCCGGTACTGGGCAACAGCCTTAACATTGGTCCAGCATACTAACAGCGAGATGGTTGACAGACTCTCAAAAAGTTTGCAACAGTTCAGCAGTTTGAAGATATTATTTTGGATGGAAGCAATGAATCTTTTGAAGTTGGACTGCCGTGCGGCACTTTATAATACTCAGGAGTGGGATGCAAAGGTGGGTCAATGAATGGCATGGCCGTGAAATGTATTCTTACTGACATATCAAGGTAAACAGTGGGCAGCTGCAAGATTACTTGAGGGCATGTCAACGGCTGTGGGCCGGATTTTTCAATGGTGCCACAAAGCACTCAACCCCACATTTGTACGTCAGCAGCCTGGCCACAGAGTTGGGCATTGCCTTGCAGGATGAGGGACAGAGATTGCTGGGATGGAAACAAAGGTTTCCGCGGGTGGTGCAAGTCAAATGCAGAGGCGCTGTTGTAGCAAGAACACTAGTGAGGATAGAAGTGCCCAGTGGCTCAGTGCAATCTGTGGCATTTTCCCCCAATGGCAAACAGCTTGCTTCCGGCTCAGACAAAACTGTGCACATCTGGGATGCAGCAACAGGCAAACAGCTGCTTGAGCTTGCCGGCCACGACGACTGGGTGCAATCAGTGGCATTCTCCCCAGATGGCAAACAGGTTGCTTCCGGCTCACGTGACAAAACAGTGCGCATCTGGGATGCAGCAACAGGCAAACAGCTGCTTGAGCTTGCTGGCCACGACAACTGGGTGCAATCAGTGGCATTCTCCCCAGACGGCCAACAGGTTGCTTCCGGCTCGGATGACAAAACAGTGCGCATCTGGGATGCAGCAACAGGCAAACAGCTGCTTGAGCTTGCCGGCCACGACGACTGGGTGGGATCAGTGGCATTCTCCCCAGACGGCAAACAGGTTGCTTCCGGCTCCGGTGACAAAACGGTGCGCATCTGGGATGCAGCAACAGGCAAACAGCTGCTTGAGCTTGCCGGCCACGACAACTGGGTGGGATCAGTGGCATTCTCCCCAGACGGCAAACAGGTTGCTTCCGGCTCATATGACAAAACGGTGCGCATCTGGGATGCAGCAACAGGCAAACAGCTGCTTGAGCTTGCCGGCCACGACAACTGGGTGCAATCAGTGGCATTCTCCCCAGACGGCAAACAGGTTGCTTCCGGCTCCGGTGACAAAACGGTGCGCATCTGGGATGCAGCAACAGGCAAACAGCTGCTTGAGCTTGAACAGCTGCTTGAGCTTGCCGGCCACGACACCTGGGTGGGATCAGTGGCATTCTCCTCAGACGGCAAACAGGTTGCTTCCGGCTCCGGTGACAAAACGGTGCACATCTGGGATGCAGCAACAGGCAAACAGCTGCTTGAGCTTGCCGGCCACGACACCTCGGTGCAATCAGTGGCATTCTCCCCAGACGGCAAACAGGTTGCTTCCGGCTCGGATGACAAAACAGTGCGCATCTGGGATGCAGCAACAGGCAAACAGCTGCTTGAGCTTGCCGGCCACGACACCTGGGTGGGATCAGTGGCATTCTCCCCAGACGGCAAACA